CAGAAAAAGACTAAAATATGTACAGCCCATTTGAAAATGTGTCCCACACATGTGCCTGATGTATTTTTTCCTGAAGATGACTTTGAAAAAAGCCCAGCTGTATATCTTGACTTGCGAGTCTCTCAGACCTGTTGACAGTGCCTGATATCAGAATAAATGACCGTGCTTTCACTGTACTTCATTGGAGCTGCTCTGCCCGAGGAGCTTCTGGGAGCTGCACTCACTGCTGCATAGATGACTGCATCCCCTCTCTGAAAGACATGGAAATGTCATTCTGATTGTTTGTACAGACACATGATAGAATAGCTCTTACTTAGGGGTACAGTACAGTGACACCCTGTATATTATACTACAGGAGAACATTTAAAGACATACAATTAGAATTGTAAACAAACCAACAAGGGGCAGAAATTGCTGAAACAAAACAGAATGTATCACCTGGTTGCCCTCCAAAGATACATCACTGGATCTAGATTCTGCTTAAAACAAAATTAGTCGACTGTCAGTGCTAGTTACTGTGGAAAGCTTTATAACAGAACATAACACTGATTTTGCTGCAGATATGTACAGATACAGATAAATGCCAATACCTGTTGGGCTTTTCTTGTTCTTGCAAAGTGTCCATCCAAGTAGAAGTGTTAACAACCCAAAAGTGATGGTTGACAGTGTCAGTGCAATAACAGTTGGACTCAGATTATCTGATTTGATTAAGGCAGCATCTCCTTTAAACAGAAGAGAAACAAACCATTCAATTTACTATAGAATGTCGTGTATAATGAGCATAGAAATGAGCACAAATCTTACTAACATATGAGTATAAAACAACCAGATTTGCATGTATACTGTAACTGTCTTACTTTGAACATTTATCCAGGTCCCATTTCCAAACAGCATCTGTCCACATGAAGTGACAACACAATAGTAGGTTCCAGTATCATCAGAGCTCTGGCTCCTCATGACAAAGTTGTATTCACAGGTAGTTTCTCCACTCTCACTCCTCTGGCAGCTGTCATTCCTATTTTCAGAGGAGTGAATCGTTTCAGGAGCAGAATGATCAGAGTTTTTCAGCCACATGACGCCAGTGTGTTCTGCCGCACAGCGATTATTGTGAACAGAACAGCTGAGAGTCACAGAATCCCCTGGTTGGACTGATTTAGAGTCTGGCTGCTGGATGACAGAGTCACTGATCATCTTTGCACCTTGAGATAACAAATTAAAAAAACTGTGATCACTAGCATTCTATTAACATTCAGCTGAATTGATCTTGAAATGAGAGAGAATATGTACCTTTGATCATCAGATAGGTTCCTGAGCCAAACTGAATGTCATGTAAGATCATCACTCCACAGTAGTACATGCCAGCGTCCTCCCATGTAGTCGTATATATGCTCAGGTGACTACTGCTGCTGTTGGAATGTACTGAATAATGCTCAGATTGCTCTTTAAATGTCACCAGGTTATAAAGCATATCTGTTGAGGCCACTGGCTGTAGTCTCCTCCCAGTGGTCAGTTTGTACCATACTCTGACTCTGGCAGTACTGTCAATGTGACATTTAATAGTAACTGCGTCTCCTAGCTTCACTGCTTGGAAAGACTTGGGCTGAGAGATATCATTTAAGTCTGCTTCACCTTAAAGAAACAGAAACAGAAACACAAGAAGATTAATAATACAGCCACTTTGATGGATACTGTAGAAAAGATCCACCAAGTGTTTCTGTTACTTACACACACACCAGAGCAGAGAGAGATTTACAAGGCACACCACCATCTTCTCCCCTTGGAGCTCCATCTTCTACACAGCAGCTGCGACGTGCTCAAGTGACAGTGACTGCAGTCTTAACAGATTCAGGACCAAGTGGTGCAGCAGCATGTCACATCTGTCAGGTACCTGATTGGTTCAGCATGTTCATCTAGCCTCACCTGATTGGCTGCTTAGTAAACCAACTATATCACAATAGAGCAAAAGAACTTCCAGCGTAGTCTTTACATTTCTGGCAGACTGTTTCAGCTGAGGAGCATAATGGGGCCTGTTATGATACAATAAATAAGATAAATCCTTCATTGTACAAAAAATATGCAGTGAGATTAGGAGTGCTACATCTGAACGAGTGCTAGATATTTAAACAATCAAACAAAAAGACCACATACATCATAAGATGTCAACAAATAATGT